AGAACCATCCACCTGGTCTCTATAACTAGAGACCCATCTATCTGGTCTTCACAACTAGAGACTCATCCACCTGGTCTCCATGACTAGAGACCCATCCACCTGGTCTCTATGTCTAGAGAACCATCCACCTGGTCTCCATAACTAGAGACCCATCCATCTGGTCTTCACGACTAGAGACTCATCCATCTGGTCTTCACGAGTAGAGACCCATCCACCTGGTCACTATAAGTAGAGATGCATCCAGCTGGTCTCCATAACTAGAGACCCCCCCAACCTGGTCTCCATGACTAGAACTGAGAGTGTCACATCACCCATGCTGCCCCATTAAGAATGTGTTCTCAGAATGTTTAGAAATTCTGCCAGAGAAAGAGGGATTCTGTCCTTGCTGCCTATGGTATGGTTAGACTGTGGCCATGTCCCCATCTGTATTAGAACAGAAAAAGCTGACAGAGAAAAATACAAGAGGAGCAGAGAGAATGCTAGAGTGCTAGGTTCCAGTCATGCCTCACTCTGGATAGAACCTTGCACTTTTTACTTAAACCAGTTTGAGTCAGGGTAGCATCATATACAATCACTGAAAACTGACTAGAGAACATCCTGGGTCTTTGTTCCTGAAGGGTAGCAGAACACTTCACCCCAAAACATGCCACTTTGGCGTCAGGATTATTTTGAGCTGAAGGCAATGGAGAGGAAGCAGATACAAGAAGAGCTCTCTCCTCTCACCCTATTTGCCTAAAAGCAGGACATAAATTTACAATGGTGTCCCCCTGCCCTCTCTACCTGGAAGGACAAAGGTTAACCCCAGGATTCAACTCTAGATCCTTGTCAGTGGAGAAGGCATGACTTAAAGCTGCATAGTAAAGCTAACTCTTGTTTACCTTGTTTTTCATGGTAATCTTCCCTAACTGGCCTCCCTACACCTTTCTTTCTTTTGTCTTTAGCTCAAGATGGTATTTAAGCCAGAGTTCTAAGCCACCTCTGAGAGTTACTCACTTGTCTCTGGGTATCTCCAGTGTATACATGAGGTATAAGTGTTAATAAACTTCTGTTTGTTTTTCTCTTGTTAATCTGTCTTTTTTTACAGAGGTCTCAGTCAGAAGGACAGGGGAAAATTATTTTTCCTCCCTTACATTCTCTACCTTATTAATTAAATCTAGTCAGTAATTAATGGTACTCGACTTGTCTATGGAACCCAGGACAATCTACAGATTTGATCAAGTCTCTGTAATTTCACTATGATGCTTATTACTAAATGCATGAACATATCTATACAACACAAAATGAACAACAACCTAATTTTGATCCTTTAGTTTCCTACCCTTGGGATTTGTGGTGGGACTGCAAGAGATAGAAAGAAAAGAAGAGAAAAATAGTACTGTGCAGATATTTTCATATGAGTAACTATACCCAAGAGACACTCGGGGTCATTTGCACACAGGGTAGGACAGCCAGTGCCTTGGGTTTCCTGATAGGCACTACAAGTCCCATTATGTTTGCTAAACTGTACTTCTTTGGCTTTCAGGCACAATCTCATAAAGAGGTCTACTACAAAACAAAACATTACCAAGCTGGGACACATGGTATTCTAATCCAGCCTGGATAGTCAGAGAATGCCTTCTCCAGGAGACTACAGATAGACTGAGTCCTAAATGACCAATGGACGGAGAATGGGGATGGAGATGGAAAACATGTGAGGCTGACATTACTGCACCTGTGAAAGCCGAGAGGTAGAAAGGATCATGGCTCCTGGGAAATACTTTAGAAGAGCAAATGGCTGAAGCACAGAAAGAGAGAATAGGGTGGAGAAAGACAAGGCTGGGGATTAAGCTCGTTACAGATTTTGAACTGTATTCTAAGAATATAGTGAGGCGTATCAGATTATGTCACCTCAAAACATGCCTCTTTGACGTATGGATTATTTTGACCTAAAGGCCATTTTGAACCGGCAGAAGCAGGGAAAGCTCTAAAAACAGGGTACATGTTTTCCTTTTGTAAAGGAAATTTACATTCATAAAGGGAATTTCCATTTGTAGAAATGTCACTTTTTCCTGTACCAGGAAGAGGAGGACTTTTAACCACTGCTCTCAATGGAGAAGGCACCGACTTAAATCTGTACAACAAACCTTACTAAACAGCCCTTGTTTACCACACTTTTCCTGGTCCTCTTCCCCTAACTTGTCTCCCCCTCCTAGAAGCCCCAAGCCCCTTTTCCTTTCTTTTATCCTTAGATGGCACCTAAACCCAAGTTCTAATCACTCCTTTGAGTTACTCATGTTTGGGTGTTCCCAGGTGTATGTGCGATGCACATGTTAATAAACTTCTGTTTGTTTTTCTCTTGCTAATCTGTCTTTGGCCAGTCTCATTCACAGGGCTCCAGCTGGAGAACCTAAGACAGGCAGAGGAAAAGATTTTTTCCTCCCCAACAATAGGAAAGTGTGGAAAAGACTTTATTCAAGAAAGGAACATTTCACGTTTGCTTTTCAGAAAGACGAGAGAAGTAGGAAGAATACGTTTGCTAAGACCTTTACAAGACTGACAGTTTTCTAGGAAAAAGAAGAGGGTGGTTAGGACTAGGAGTGGTGATGGAAATGGAGGAAGTGGGCAGGATTACAGAGATATTGCAGAGCTGGGGAAAGGATTTGATAATTGGGTTAATATTGGGAGGAGGGACAGAGAGGTGTCAAGAGTAACATTGGTTTTACAACTGAAGCCACTGGATAAAATGTACACTATTTACTTAGTACGAAGGGGAAGGTTGGAAGATAAACATACCTGGGAGGGAAAACTGTGAGCTCAGTTTTGGACACAGGGTTCGAGTGCCTGTGCGATGCCCAGTGGGGATGTGGAGTGGTGACACAGACACTGAGTTCTGGGACTCACAGAACTGGAATTGCTGACATGAACAGAAGAGCTATCGATTACTGGTTACTACCACGGTCTTTGAATCCAGGAGAGTGGATGACACTCACGGAAAGTGAACAACAAAAATGTAGGTGGACTCTGACTGAGCCCTGTACCTAAAATTGTCGGTTAGAAGATGACAAAGAAGCAAAGAAAATAAGGAAGTAGCCAGTGAGATGGCAGAATAAGCGCGACTGTGCTGTCCCGAAGCCAAGGGGAAAGGGGCGCTGAGCTAGAAGTGATAAGGTGCTGAATGATCCTGAGGAACATGAGAAATGGAGCATGCCCCGGGATTCAGTGACAGGAAGTACTCCTGACATGGATGATAGTGTCAACAGAATGGTGTGTGAAAGCTAGATAAGAATGGGTAAGAGAAGTGAGGAAGGGGTGTAGAAACTGAGAAAGCTGGCATAGATAATTCCTCTAACAACCTTTCTTAGAAGGTGAAAGCTGAAGGAAGATAGGGGTCAAATGTATGGAAAAAATCACATATAAACAGCTGTGTGTCCGTGTGAGAGAGAGATGGACTTGACAATACTTGAAATGCTATTGGGAAAGATCTAGTGGAGAAGTAGCAGCTGAAAATGCAATCAAGAGAAAGTAATTCCTACTTTAAGGGCTCTGAAAGAGCAGAAAGAAACGTTCCTAGAGCTTAGGGCAGAGGACAGATTGGGTTTAAGAAGAAGCAGTATTCTCTTCTGTTTGAAAAGAGAAAAAGTAGAAAAGTGTGGGCAGATCTGCGTGGAGGTATGTTGGTGGAAGCTGTTTCCTCTCTGATTTCTTTCTCTCTGTGTGTGTGTGTGTGTGTGCCTTTCAAGCAGGAGGTGATGCTGTTGCTGAAGGGGGAAATGGAGTCGGGAAACAACGAAAGACGCAGTGTGTATACAGAGAAATTCTGGCAATGTCGCCCATCATATTCCTCACCAGCCCAGATTTTATTTCCCTCTCTTCTTTCCTCCTAACTGGATTCCTATTTTAAGAGACTCAAATTCTGGAAATCTGAATTTATTTTTTTTTCCTTTTTCTTTTTTTCCTTTTGTGAAGAAGATCAGCCCTGTGCTAACATCTGCCAATCCTCCTCTTTTTTTTGCTGAGGAAGACTGGCCCTGGGCTAACATCCGTGCCCATTTTCCTCCACTTTATATGCAACGCCGCCACAGCATGGCTTGCCAAGCGGTGCTTCGGTGTGCGACTGGGATCCGAACCGGCGAACCCCGGGCCACCACAGCGGAGCACACGCACTTAACCACGTGCGCCACCGGGTGGGCCCTTATATTTTATATTTTATAACAATGTCTAAAAGTTTTACACAAAATACCATTCTTTTTCAGTAATAAAATATTGAAGCTCTATTTTCAAGGACAATCTATGAAATTAAAGAAAGCAAGTCATTTAGTCATGTTAAAAAAAAAGAAAAAGCACTACTTTTGACATTTTCAACTTCATTTGATTTAACAATATTCAAGAAAAGGCCAGCTAAATTATTTGGTATGAAATGAAAATTTTGAACTTTTTCATATGTCAAAAATGCTTTGATGATGGTTGATTTAAAGTTTTCTTAGAGTCTCATATTGGGATGGTTTAAAAAACGATGAAGTTCATTCACTAAATTTTTTTTTCTGCCATAATTGGAACACAACTTGAATAGTACAGATTGCCATTATTTTATGCTGAGCCAAGGCTTAAGTACATGAGAGACTCTGCCAGACCCTCTTCCATTAAGAATTGACTCCCTCTACCATAGTGCTGAAGAGACAAGACCTACAAGTGGCTGAGAGGACACAGTGGCAAATGAGAAGGCTATGTGATGCTGAGGCTGGTGGCCTAGAAGGCATTCGATGATGGCCGTAGGAGAGAGGGAGAGAAGAGAGTGTGGGTGAAGCTGTGATGAGAGTATAGCTGGTTATAATCTTTGTGCCTATGTCCTCATTTGTGGCTACAAGAACAGCAGTGGCTCCACTACCCATCAGAAAACAGTATTCCACCAAAAATGATTCCAGTTCTAAAGTTTTTAACCAATTGGGGAGATCTACACTTCAGTAAAATTTAAATGTAAGAAGCAGACCTAGGGTTTTTTTTTTTTTTTTTTGATGCCTTACCTTGGTAAGCGAGTTTAAATCCCTGCCGGTTTTGTGAATGGTCACTGTAAAAGTGGATGAGTGTTTCATGTGTTGTACTTAGCAATGCCGAGGGTAGGTCGGTGCCACTGAACTGCCCTATCATAGGGCTGGTGTGGTAAGGTCCATTCTGAATTTCAAGGTAGTCGTGATTAGCTTCAGTAGAAAAATTCAGAAATTGAATATGTGCACCTATGAAAAAATAGGCAAAATTCGTGCAAGTTAATATCAAAGTTTATAACATCAATGTTTACTAAAAGTGATTAAAATTCTATCAGTCTCTCCAAACAGTATCTCTCTAGGAGGCAGAACAGCTTAGTCATAGTGGAGGAGAGCACACATTTTGGATCACAACAGACTTTGGTTCAATTTCATCTGTGCCACCAACAAAGGTCCATGTAATTAATATTCCTGAGTCAACTTATTCGTGAAATATGAATATTACCAGCACTGCATCACAGAGATACACAGGTATAATTCTTAGAATGGTGACTTATATTCATACACATGGCAATGATTTTGTCCAGCTGCTATGATATTTATTACAACCAAAAACACAAGGTTGTAATTGTGTGTCAAATCATCCTTAAGTTAATTAACAGTTTTATCAAGAAAGAAGCCAATATAGATCTAAAGAAGTGCAACAAACTTTCAAAGTGGCTTTTAAATGGATGGCCATCCCATTGCACAAGAAATTTGTTAGTTTAGCAAAGTGATTGTTTCAAAATTGTGTTATGCCCACAAAGCAAATTATTGACGCGTGCAAGATATCCAATCCAATAAACCCCATGATGATGCTCACAAGTCAGTCTAAGAGCCTGGCACAGTTTAACATACCAAAAGGCAGTCCAAATGACCAATGTCATAGGTAATGCATTGATCTGTATACCAGATAAGTTATCGCTGATAATTTAGAAGAAAATCAAAATCATTTAGAGTTATTTGCTATGGTGTTGTGGCATTTTAAAAAACTTATTTGACTACTGTGTCTGAAATATCTTAATTCATTTAAATAGTTTATTTGGAACTCTAACATTAGGTTTTGCATAAGCACATGAAATTAAGTTGAAGAAGAAAAGAAAAGAAAAATTGAGGGAGGGAGGGAGGAGAGAAAGAGAGCAAGAGGGACGAGTGGAGCTCTTAGTCCCTCCGTTCTGACCCGTCCCCCTACACGGCTATGACAGTTGACCTATTTGATCACTTAGTAAGCTACACATCAGTACCCGATTTATTCCCTCACCCGTTGCTGAGTTAAAAACACAGTTTTCTTTCGTAGCATGTCCCACAAATCTGATAAAAAAGAGTTTTGTTACTAATAAATAAAGGGTACCAACAAATCCTTTTTCCCTTTTTTTGGTGATTACGTCAAGCCCACAAAACCCTTGTGGTCCACAGAGTTTCATAAACACCCATCGCTTTGGTCACCATGAATGAGGTAGAACGCAGAAGCTGACACAGGAACAACCAAAACAGCTGTTGAATTACAGACATTTCTATTTATGCCCAAAAAGTACCAGATAGGATGTGAAATTAGGGCAAGATTGGAACCCTTAAAAAACTTATTCACTATTTGGGTATAAAATCAAATAGCAGGGAAATGGCTTAAAACATGCTCATTTCAGATGTGCACGTGCAGATTTCAGATGTATTTACCCAGAAATACATTTTCAAATTCATAGGATGACACAGTCAAGGAGGAAATGAAAGACAGCGAGCAGATCAAGGGTAAAAAAATTAAAGATGGCCAATATCTCGAAAGTACAGGAAACAGTGACAGTGGCCTTTTACTGATCTGGAATTAAACTTGAAATGGAAGTATATATATTATTATTTTATGAAAAAAATTAGCATTTTAAGCAGGATAAAGTATCCAGTCACATATTAAACTGCCTAATACATATCAGGAAATAGAACAGAGCCCAGTTCTAATCTGGTTTAAAATGGAATTATTTAGCTATCTAATTTTCAGCAAATTGTGTCCAGTTTGACATCATAAAGCCAAAATGAAGGGATTGAACTAAGCATAACCAATTATCCTTTTATTATCTCATGGAATAGTGGAAAAAAACATGTTATTTCAACCAATGTGAATGCCCATCTTCAGTGGAATTTACAAAACACATCTCATTCGATTGTTCTTACACATTGAAAATGAACTGTCAGGAAAAGACATCTGCACAAAGCACTTTACCTTTGGACTCTGACAAAACTTTGAATAGTGATGTGACCATGACTTCAGAGTTAAACCCTCATTTTTTAGTTGATAGAACTTGTGAATATTAAATTGCTCTATTTCATATTTTTTGGTGTAATAAACATGGCAAAAAGAGTCAGTAGTTATAGAATTCAGTGAATATTTGAAGAACCTTTACATGTTCTCCATGCCTCTGGATGGTCAAAAAGGCATGGCCATTTGGGATTGCAAGGTATGTAGTATCAGTGTAGTGGTTTTTAAATATAAAAAGTAATGGTAAAACAGAAAAAGTTGGTTGCATTTCTGTCAATTATGCCTTTAGAAATTTTCAAGAAAATAGAGACAGAAATTCTGAGTTGATTGGGCTCATGCCAAAGCAACACAAAACAGCAACCCAAGTCTCTGAAAAGAAAAGAAACCAGCATCAAGTCATTAGAGAATTTGGTTTAGCTACTAAAAGCAGTTAACACTTAAAAGATGCCTTCTCCATATCAGGCATTTGCATTACTTCAGAACAGCCCTATGAGAATGATATTGTATTGTACTCATTTTAAAGGTAAAGGGTTCAAAACATTTGTGCAAATTCATGCCTTCTGTAACTGATAGAGCTGGGATTTCTATTCAGCTAAACTCAGAGCCCAAAAATATGAGCAGCCAAGACACACACTGCACCCCCCCCAGCCAGAAGCCACCTGATCATTTCCAGAGACAAGCTGCATTCACACTGGGGCAGGAGGTAGGAAATAGTTGTCACCGGAATGAATAGAGATGAGAGACAAAGGTGATTTTCACATGATGCCAAAGCAACCAGCCACTTTTGCCTACGCAATTAAACTGTTGATTGATCCGTGGGAGTGGATCATGGGAGGGAAGTGCGATTCATCAAAAGATTTATTTGATTAAACAGGTAGCTGCTTAACTAACGGATTGCATAATCTATCAGGCGGTCCTCTGCACACTCAGTTGTATGGAAAGACTCAAAACACACCAAGAAAAATCCTCCATGAATGAAAAAAATCAAATATATTTTTCCTGAAGAAAGGGCGACGAGGTCTCATACTCTGGATAAGTGTGTTATTCCGGGCAGCTGGCGGAACTGAAATCATCCACGCTTACCAGTACAATAGTCACTTCTCGCCCTGAGCAACCAAATACCTGAACTGACAATTGAGGAAACCGGAATGTAAGTTCAGATATCTGAGACAGCATTGGAAGAAATGGAGGCACTAACTTTATAAATATTGAAGTAAAACTTATTTTTAAGAAAAATCTAGAGGAATAATAGCAATTATTTTTTGTTACTCACTTTAAAGATTTTATTTATCTTGCTGTTTCTTATTAAGTAATATTCTATCTCTACTTCCAATTTGTCAAAATCTCATGATTTCTGCATTTTTTCAGCAAAGCAATTTATATTAAATAAAAAATATTTGTAAGGATCTTATGAAAAATCTTTGTGTATTTCTCGTCTTATTTTGATTAAAAGTGCTCATCCATAAATTGGAGAAATGTTTTCTAAAGTAGTCTGTGACTCTAGCATCCAAAATACCAGAGGTGCTAGGTAAAAATGTGGAATTCTTTTCCCCATCTGGCCAGGGGTGCTGACACAGCATCCAGGGGCAGGCTGCCAGAATCTTCCTGGTAACAACTTGACTTCCACCAATGGTTCTTGTACGTAGCAAAATTTGAGAATTGTTGGTCTAAGCAATCATTTTCCTTGGTTTATAGTGTTCCAAGTTTAAGTAGATACAAGTCACAATAAATCTGACATGTTCTTTGGGTCTTAGGTAAGCAAGTTTCCCATAATGTCTGTTTCTTGATGAACCTTCTAATGATACTGCAAAAAAACATTCTTTAAAACTGTTTCCCACACCTCCAGGAAAGAGATCGGGCTAGTAAAAGACCTTACCTCCCTACACACACGTGCATAGACACATATATGCAGACACACACATACACAGACACCCAAAGCAGGAAATGTGACAATGAGCACATTTACTATGAAGAACTGGTTCACTCCACCATATTCATGAACGTAAACTTCCCGTCACATTATGTCTTTTCCCAGCATGAAGGAGGAAATATCTTTTTACTATTATCTTCCTACTTGATTACCAAGATCAAACAGCAGACGTTTTCCAGGTAAAACACCTATTGTGACATCAGTAGAAATATTTCTCCCCAACCCCCAATTGTTTCACTAGGAAAACAAGGGCCCTTCCTGGGTTGTAATTACAGGAAACGTTCCAGAGTCACTCTAAGGTTAGGAAGCAACATGGGAGCTCAAAGAGGGGAGAAATGGTAATTAAAAGATATGGTGGTCATCTTTACTGTGTTCCCAATTTTTCTTTTTATAAAAAATTTCTGGAGTGCTTGATTTAAAAATGCAGATTCCTGGGCTTCAAACCCAAATTTAATTTCTCAAAATTCCCATGGGAGAGGTCTGATGTTTGCCTAGCATTTGGGGGATTCTGGGAAGCAGCTGCTGCCAAAAGCGAAGTTCAGGGCAAGGAAGGTACCGGGAAAATGGTCACCCTGTGTACGATCGCAATTGGTTTGACCCCAGGAGGGATCAAACAGGAGAATCTATTCTGCAGGCAACAGAGTTAAGGGAAGAAGCAAGAATGAATCGGAATCTGAATTGAGTCTGAGACCCCTTCTGATGACCCAGATGAAAACACGTCCCATGCAGCTGAAAATGTGGTTTGGCATGTGAGAGCAAGATGAGGGATGGTGTTTTGAGTCATGTGTGTAGAAGGGAGAGTTAAAACTATAGGGTGACAGATATTACCAGGGAGAAGAGGCCAAGATAAAAGAAGACTGGGAATGCAGAGAATAATTCACTTAAGAGTTTTCAAAAACCTGATGGGGGACTATAAGCCAGGCAGTAAAATTTTCTCTGAGTCTGCGAAATGCCCTATAATTATTTAAGCCCCAGAAAACTTCATAGCAAGGAATGAAAAATTTCAAATATTCACCATGTCAGGGAAACTACTCCTCTTAGATTACAAAATTCATCACAGACAATGCTGGTGTTTTACTTTAATTCAATCTGTAACAAATTATTCTGAAGCATAACTATATCTATTCTAAAAAGCTAGGGACAGTCACATTATTTTGTATGTATTTAGGATTTAAGACATAAAGTTTCTTTTCACTTTTTCTTCCAGATGCTTTTTTAAACCCCATACTATTCAAATATTTCACAGACTTAAATCATTTTGATTATAATATTTCATAAATCTTCTTTTCATTTCAGCCTTTCTTTAAATAAATATTTTGTATAGATTCATAGATGGTGATAATGCAGTCTGACAATTTAACTGCTTTTTTTGTCCTGAATTATTCTCTTGCATATTTGAGAGAGCTAGATGAGGAAATGTGCCAAACCAGAGCCTTCCCAAATTATAGAACAGTAAAGTTGGGAAAATAAATTAAGAAAATCTGTATATCCATTCATGGATAAAATATTTCTAATGATGTTTGAAAGGCCAGTGGGAATTATTTGGAACAATAATAATAATAAAATAGCTGACCATCTTTTTTTTGTTTGCTGTTGTCATTCATGACATGCCGAGCCCTGCACTAAACTTCTCGCCTGAATTGTGTGTCAGTCCTCACCATGTCCCTGTGTGCTATTTCAGCTTTAGAGATGAGGATGCTGAGGTTCCTGGAGATACTCTCATTTATGACTCTGCTGGAACATCCTGGGTCCCATGTATCTGCAGTCCAACCCTTAACCCTGACTCAAAGATTCGCACCAACCACGTCCATATCTTCAGAGGCCCATGGTAAGAAAACGGACCCAGCTTTTGAGAATAACTGAGCCAATGTTGGATAAAATCTTTCAAAGGCCTCTGTTTCATCTAGAGCAGAATTACTGCCTCTATGCTCAGAGAGTTCGTGATGTAAAAGGCAAAATTACACTAAAAAACTTGGAAGAAATTGAGAGTCTGTGTATCCTCTTGTGAAGTCTCCCCCCTTCTCACCCCGCAAACCCTCTCGGTGGCCCCTGAAAGAATTCCATGGACGTGAACCTCACGTGTGTGTTCCCCAGTGGGGGTGCCCTCCCATGCCCCCCCTCTCCCTGGTGCAACAGTCCGCATCAGTGCACAGCCTGTCCATGTCTGCACACCTGACCGAGGCTGCCAGGCCCTCATGCCCACCGTTACTCCTGGCTCCCCCCTGCTGAGCAAGTGGACCCTCCCCTTTCCACGCTGCCCTTCTGCCGCTGCCATCCTGGGCAGAGATTCTTAAAGCAAAAGCTTTGAAAACCATAAAAAATATGAGCTTCTTCTAGAGCAGGGATTTTCATTTTTGCTTACATTCATGCAACTAACATTTATTTAGCATGTACGTTCTCAACTGCTATCCTCTACGACATTCAGTATCAGATTTAGTACACCCATCATACAGTGAGATTTTGTGAAAGTCACGGTGGGGAAAACCCAGATTAATGAGCTAAAATACGAAGGAAATCACGAGGCAGACAGGGAAAGACGTGATAGAGAATCAAAATTTCACAAAGTCCATGCACTTCTCAAGAAGGCCAGGATGAGATTTCAGTGTACATAATAATTAAAATTATGGATTATTTAAGGTGGATGATCTGAAAGTTCATAACTAAATATTCAAAAAATCCATTTTCATACACCTAAATCAATACACAAAATAATTACAAAAATTTATCAAATGATACTAAAATGTGTCATTACCTGAAAAAGCCTTAAAAATTGTTCAAAAGAAACAATAACCATTATTGAGTTCCAGAGACAGATTATAAAAGGCAGTATTATAAATAAAGAGATTGATAATTTAATTAGGGATGTTACATTTTGCACTTCACGTGCCTACTATATCATCATTCAGCTAATTTCATTTGCCTTGAAGAGTGTGGCACGGCTGAATTGATTTTTTCAAATAACTTTCTGTTCTCAAAGTTATTCTGCCAAAGCTTTATTTGAATCTGTAACCCACTTTCAATTAAAGACATGGTTATGTCAACAGAATGAGGCACATTTTTTATTCAGGTGAATTCTTTCCAAGATACAAATTAAAAAGTTTAATTTTTAGGAATTAAAAATATTTTCACTTACCATAGCCAATGGGCAGCGCAATCCTCCAGGTACAGTCCAGGTTGTTGGGGTACGCTCCTGGGAACCCCGGACTCAGGATCACACCGCCCATGCTGTTCAGTGTCCCTCCGCAGGTCGCTGTGAAATGGACAATTGTAGTTAGTCTGGTGGGTCATTGGTTTCTAGCAAGGACATGAACTCCACCTGCTCTCCTCCACCACGCTCAGTAAAACCAGTCTTCAGACGTGAATTTTGCCCCTAATTACAGCACATACACAATGCAGTGTGCACTTTACTTACGTATGGGCCTGGCTCTCTCCCTTGAGTGTCAGATGCTTAAGAACAAAGGCTGGTTTTGAATTTGTTTTTTATTTTATAAAATGAGCACAATAACACTTGCTGCAAAAGGTGTTGTGAAAATTAAATGAAATATTATACATATACTAACTAATAAAATCCAGGCAGCTAGTAGGCCTTGCACAAATGGAAGCTATTATTATGTATAGAAAAAGCTAGTACGGTCCACACTATTTCCAACAAGAGTCAAGCATTTCTTTAATTTACAATAATAATTTAATAGAAGTTCCTGAAATGCCTTCTGCATGATCCGAGAAGGATGAAATTATATTCACTGTTCAGTCCAATTTTGGTGGTTAGCACAATTTGTGGTATTCTAATTGTTGAGGAAGGCGAGGAAAAAGAACATCTTCTGCGAGTTTATTTAGTATTTGTATGTCTTTTTTTTTCCCCTTTACTTATAATATTCTTTCTTTTGTTTTTTATTAAGGTATAACTGATGTGTAACATTATTAGTTTCAGGTGTACAACATGACTCGATATTTGTATGAACTGCTAAATGATCACCACAATAAGTCTAGTTAACATCCATCACCATAAATAGTTATAGAATTTTTTTTCTTGTGATGAGAACTTTCAAGATCTACTCTCTTAGCAACTTTCAAATATGCAATACAGTATTATTAACTATAGTCACCATGCTGTACATTACATCCCAGGACTTATATATTTAATAGCTGGAAGTCTGTACATTTTGACTCCCTTCCCCTATTTTGCCAGTTTTGCTTCTGGTACACAGAGGCTCTCAGTAAAGTTTCGTAGATTTAATGCATTTTAGTCAGGCATCCAATTGACTTTCAGGTTATGAGTTGCTCTGTGTTGAGTGGTAGTATTAATTACTATTTATTGATTGTTACCTATCTGCTACCTTCTGTGCTGAGACAAATACGTCACATAATTCTCTTAACAACCTTAAAAGGCTGGTATTATTACTGCATTTACAGATAAGGAAACCAAACCTGAGGAGATTAGGAAATTTGCCTAAGGACACACACCTGATGAACAGCACAACCAGACTATTACTCCAGCTCTGTCTGGTTCCAGAACCCACATTTTAACCAGGGTACGTTACCTTCAAAATTCTGTTCAGTTGGAATGCGGCTACTGAAACCACTTTCTGCCCAGGAAATCTTATGCTGTGATGAGGGATGTGAAGATAATTCCCACATCTGGCCTTATCTTAGTTACTCACATTCATACTACTGTAGCTGATGTTTGACTATAAATCATGACTGATTTTATAACAAACATGCCAAATAATATAGGTTGCAGCAGATTAAATTCTAATATTTGACCATGTGTGACCTATTAAAATGGCAATTTTGTGTATTTTCAAAGTAATAAAGCAAATTATGCCTCTTTCCAGGAAGTCACATTAAAAGGCTTAATCCTACTCCTGCAGTGCTCTCATTAGGCAAACATTTTTGGAAGCCCTCATTCAGAGATCCCTCAGGACCTGCAGTGAAGTCTTTTTTTTTTTTTTTTTTTACCATCAAGGTAAAAAAAGTTTATCTGTTGAGGGTAAATTTGATAGGAGCAAACATCTAAATGTCTTATAAAGTCAAGTCCAGTGAACATGGTAATTGTTCAAGCTAGAAAATCGTAGTCTGGGTTTCAACACTGTATAAGTTAAAAATGTAAGTTTAAAAAAATTAAAAAAATGTGTTTTTGTGGACTGAGTGAATAATTCCAGCAAAGTCTTCAACATCAACTTTGTTGTTAAAATATAACCTCAACCCTTTTGATTTTGAGCATGATTTTTACACAAAAAGAGAAAGAGATTGGGAATTATAAAATACAAACAGCCAGGTACTTCCTGGGTTGAGGGCTGGGACTGTCTCACATGAGTAGCTGACCCATGCTGGCTGATAGAAGTCATCATCAATATTAACGTCTGTGTTTAATGCAGGCCAACCCTCAGTGTTTTGGAGGACAGATATGGGGCCTAGATATTGGGTATTTCCCCTGTCAAACACACAATGATAATCCAGTTCCTTGAGTACTTAGTTAGAACTGCATGCAGTCCTTCTTTTGTTCATCTATAAATGAAGCATCATTGGATGGGCATAGAAATGGAGCTCCCAAAAGATGTGCATCAATCTTTTCTCCTCTGTGATATCATCAAGATTCCATCAGCAGACTTGTCTTATTTTACATTTGTTCAATGTTACCGTCAGGCTTCAGCCTTCTTCCCAGGGCTCACCTGTCCACCACCATCTGGTAGACTGACCTCCTGCCTCCTGCTGGAGACACGCCCCCCATGCCAGCCCTTTCATATAGTTAAACAGCATCATTAGACAGTTATTGGTAAATATGGTATCTCTAAAGGACAAGGTGTTTATTTTTATAAAATAGACAGCGATCTTACATTTTTCTGGATGTATATATCTTATTTTGTGCAGATTCCTGATTTTTTGGTAAGAATATATGGAATTTTTACTCCAGGGCACAGACCATGTCCTGCTGGACAGACCCCATGGTGTAGGGAGTGCCAGCTTGGCTGCAGGGCGCTGGCAAATGGCTTGGCCACTCTGGGGTTTCTTGTGATGCTCAAAATAGTTAATATCAGTTAAGCTCTGAGAATGATACTGACACTCAGTAACCTGTAGAAAAGTATTTTGATATAAATTGTCATCGTTAGTACTATTATTTTTAAAAAAATTAGGATATGAGGCTTCCAAGAGCTAATAAGTAAAATATTATCTCTCTATGGATTTCTAATCCTAAAATCCCCCAGCTCGGATTAATCTAAAGCTAACAGCCAAGAAAACCTTTCAACCTATCAAATCAGTCTTTGAGATTTATTGTTGGCCATTTGTGCATTTTTCCAATGAAAAACCTTTCTCTATATCTTATAAAGAATTAGGGGCAAGCAGGTGTAATGGAAGCTGACATATCTTCGACATTTGCTAATATACGAGATATTAAATAAAAGATAAAAATCAGTTATATTTGGCTAATACAGGTTACCTATTCAAATAAAATATTTCCTCACATAATATAGAGGGCCAGCAGTGACATATTGTTTGATTGAATATTTGCTGGGAGTTGATTTCATTTCAAAGTTTAAAATATTTCAATTCCCAAGTTTAAGGGACAGTGCTTCCTGTAAAAATAAACAGGAAGACCGATGTTCTGTGTAAGCGGGGAGGAGGCAGCTCCTAATGTTGGTTCCCTTGTCGTCCTTCGTTTCTCCCCTCCAATCAAGCCTGGAGTTTTAAACCTCCGTACAAATAACTTCAACTTTGTAGATGACATGGTAATCCAGACATCGATTTTTACCAAGAAATCACTTTACTGAAAAAGATACTGGTCACTAAGGACCATTTTTCACTTGTAAATGAATGTGATATGGTGGACATAATAGCGACACATACTGTTTCCCGGACGAGACTATCACAAAGGCTGAAGTCCTGTTTGTTTTAAAAGTTTGGCTTAGTTTTATGTCCCTCTATACACAACTCCATCTGTTTCCCATTCAAGGCAGTTACGTTGTATATTCCTCAAAACCATTTAACACCCAGGATTTGTGTGAGATGCAGGGAATCGGGCTGTAGAGGGACATGTAATGGAGAGTGAGTACCTTGTTTTACCTGTGGGAGCCTACACGACACACTATGCTACCATAGTCCTCAGTAAAACGGATCATAAACTGTATGTGAATCGCTCAGGGGACACTTGAAGGATATTCTGTGGCCTTGAAAATTGCGTGCATGTGGTCACCTAGAGCTGACCACTTTCTCCTGGAGCACCATCTGCAATATGAGGATGCTTGAGGGAGCATTCTAGAGACAAGGAGGTTCTGAGTGTGCCCCACGGCAATATCCACGTGTTGGAAGCAAGAGACAGACTATGAAGAAGGCATCCGTGATCAGGTGACTTTTGCAATGATCCATGCTATCTGATGCTCATTCATTGACTGGTCATTCTTGAATCAAAATTATTGTGAGCCTACTATGTGCTAACGTATGGGAGAGAGTGAGGTTTGGCTCTGCCTGTAAGATCCTTCGGATTTTAGGGAGGGTAGATTAAATTACACGAAATCACACTGTAGCTTCATGTGAAAGAGGAGAGTCACACACAGGGGAGAACTAACTTCCTGTTCTTCCACTTGAAGGCGGGAACCTGGAAAGGACTGAGGTGAGGGTGAGGTGGGTGAGGCACTTCCCTCAGGTGCAAATTTTAAGAGGGTGCCTGAACCCTTAAATAACATGTTAGTGGAGTATTTGGAAAAATCAAAAGTAATGCCACAAAAGCCCTATGGTGAACAAAATATCAACATTTAAAACAAAGGCAGGGTCAGTATTACTGATTTTTCCTCCAGCCTCAGGCCCTGTTACAGCAGGTCCAGCACTGACCACGTGGTAGGTCTGGCATGGAGAACAGCATGCGCAGTGGAGGTGTGAACTGGCGTGGTGGTATTTGGCATTTGCTGAAGCACAGAACAGGAGGAAGGGGGGAGCTGTGGTTCCAGGGCCAAATCATGCAGCCTGGACAAGCCATATGCCGATGCTGGGACACACTTCTTTTGGTCAGAGGTGTGGGTGCAGAGTGGGCAGGAAATTGCAGGGCCTTAAGCAGATTAGCATGCCCTTTCCACTGATAAAGTTGGAGTATGGCTGAAGTTGGGGGCTACAGGTGAGAATGCTGTGGAGCCGGATCACAATAGTTTAGAGGAGGGTGATGAGGTGTTAGGAGGCTATGAGATCTTAAAGCAGAGGTGTTAGAGATCAGAATCGCACCTGGGGACGCATTTAGGTCATAGGGTTGACAAGAGCGAGAGATCGTTTGGATTTGGGGAAGAAGAGAGAAATCTGAGACCGCATCTAGATTAGACCAAGAATATGGATGATAACGGCAGTCTCGGAGGAAGAAGTGAGGAGGTGGATAGGGACTTGAAGAAGGCAGTGGGTATGGGGGTTGGAGATGCTGAGTCCTACAGGTAAGGAAGCACCAGATGGGGGCGTATGGTCACCTGAGCTGTAAGGACAGATTTCTGAGTCAGACGCACAGCATGCAGGCAGTGTGTGACGCTCTGGGCTTCGATAAGAGGGAGAACATGCAGAGTTGAAAGAAGAACAGAGAGCACTCGAACACAGCATCCTTTCCATTTCAAGGCCTTCCTGCGATGGAGGTAGAGGGAAACCAGTTGCTGTGCCCACCGAAGCTTTAAAACGCCCACCATTTAATCTACGTGAAGAGTTTATGGGGCCTCAGGGCACAGGTTCTTCCTCTTTCAATGCAGTGTTGGGAATGCTTTTCCCTAAATTAGCCGGTGGCATCCTCAGCCCTAATGAGCACATCCACAAGGGCAGACACCTTTCCGTTTCCAGAAAAGTTTCTCTGCAAATTCAAATCCCTTATGTGTATTTCTGAATATTGTTTCTGGAAACTTGATTTCCCTGAGGCTAAAGGCCTAACGAGACCACCGCTCAGACTTTCCAACGAGCTACATTCATTCCTTCCCATAAATGAATCCACTGGCCTTCTGACACAGTGGATTTGAGTTCAGTGCCTTGAGCTAGCAATCTTGCGTCTAATCCGTGTAGCTGGGTCCAAAGATGATGAAAAGCTGAGCCACTACGTCCAGTGGAGAGATGCGTGTTCAACCTTTGCTATACCTCTACTGCAGGATTATGTTATTATTATGTAACAAATGTTTCAAAAGGAATCTAAAAGTGCATCGTTTGAAAAGAGTAGCCCAAGGAGATCACCATTACGTGTTGATAGTACACATGCCCAGCAACGTAATGACAAAAGGCGTGTCCATACCAATGCAGAGAGGAGACGGGTAGTTCCAGCGACGAACAGTACCAGGCATACAAGAAATGTGGGAACGGCCCTGTTTAAGAGAAAATGAAATGAAACTCACATAACTCAAGATAGAGCTTTTAAGGATCAAATGTTTGTGAGAATATCTGTACTTTCTTTGGTTGTCCTTTTGATTTAACTACAAATGTAAAAAAAAATCAGAAATTGTGAAATCTATTCTACTAATGTTTATTAATGTATCATATATTTTGAATCAAAATAGAAAAAAAATCCATAATCATTGTATTTCTTTTCACTAAAAACAAAATCTGGCAATGTCCCTTTTCAACATTCTGGTAGGATGCTTTCCTAATGCTTAAAAAGATGAACTGGGCAAGTATGTCTTTCTTTTTAATCATCAGAAGTTACAGCTTTTGATCTGAGAGGCTGACAATGATTAGGAAATACTAGGTATTGATTTGAAGGGTGAGATGTCAACAATACGTAATCTGCCTATGAAAAGGTATCTTTTGTGGTGGTCGACAGTTCACATACAAGTCACATGACCATTATGAGACTTCAGTACAATGGCTCAACAAAGAACTGGGTCAGTCCCTCTTTCATTGGAGAAAAAGGAGACAATATGCATTTTATTATTAGACAGCCTCACAAGCTGTCAAATTAATGTGCCTGCAATGAGATTAATGGTCATCACACAAGATCTCTTTATCCTTTAAATATGTGAAATTTTTAACTTTCAACCTTCAAAAAAATATGTCCTATTATTCCTGTTTTTTTTTTTTTTTTCTGTGAGGAAGATCAGTCCTGAGCTAATATCCGATGCCGATCTTCCTCTTTTTGCTGAGGAAGATGGACCCTGGGCTAACATCCGTGCCCACCTTCCTCTGCTTTATATGGGACGCCGTCACAGCATGGCTTGACAAGTGGTGCATTGGTGCGCACCTGGGATCCGAACCCTGGGCCGCCGGAGTGGAGTGCGTGCACTTAACCACTACGCCACTGGGCCGGCCCCATTATTCCTCTCTTAAAAATCGAAAAAAAAGAAAAAAAAAAA